ATGTCCCCTCCAAAGCTCCAGACAGGCAAAAGCGTCTGAAGTTGACGTAGGGCAGCAGTGTTGTGTGTCACAGTGCATTTCATATAGATCTGCAGATGTTTGCAATTCGGGGCGAGACTTCTGGGAGTGACCTGCTGCCTCCGCTTTCCAGGTCAGATCGACAACCGGAGTAAGCTACGGAACATAGTTGAGCTGCGTTTGGCTGGCCTGGATATTACAGATGCTTCTTTGCGGCTGATCATAAGGCACATGCCTCTGCTCTCCAAACTCAATCTTAGTTACTGTAATCATGTGACAGATCAGTCTATTAACCTGCTGACCGCAGTTGGAACCACCACGCGGGATTCATTAACAGAAATTAATTTATCAGGTAAGCAACACAAGCGCAGGGGAGGAGGGAGGATGGGAATTGCCCATTGGCATTAGACTGAGACACTCATCAGTGGAAGTGGTTTTACCCAGCTCTTCCCCTGCCCCGTGTAACTCCCCCCCAGGCCTCCATTTGAGCTGCTGGATGCGCTGCCGGTGTAAACAACCCTGCAGCTGCCCAGCCTTTCCCTGGGCCCTCCACCAGCTGACGGGACCGCCGCTGCCTCCCGCTCGGGAGCTGCGTGTTGTACCTCGCTCATCCTCCACAGGGGATTTTCCAAGGCCGCCGCTGTGCGCATCTGGCGTGCTTTGCTTTATCTCGTCGGTTACACAACAGTGTCACGGGGATTAGAGAGCGGCGGTGGCGCTGGCTGGGCAATCACACTGTTGGCACAGCCCAGGAGGAGCAAGAAGGACCTACCACAGTCGGGATAAACCGTCCTCGTGCTGGAGAACAACCTGAGATGGGCTGTTAAATTTCTCCCCTTTGTTGTTTTTCTTTTTTTTCTGGCAGACTGCAATAAGGTTACTGACCAGTGCCTGTCTTACTTCAAACGTTGTGGAAACATCTGCCAGATCGACCTGAGGTACTGCAAGCAAGTGACAAAAGAAGGCTGCGAGCAGTTCATAGCGGAAATGTCAGTAAGTGTTCAATTTGGGCAAGTGGAAGAAAAACTTCTGCAAAAACTGAGTTAGTTAAAGGACACGTGTAAATACTGGGGCGAGGGGGGGAAGGGACTAAGAACATGTAGGGATTTTATTTTCAATTTGGAACTTGGAATATTGGAAAATACCGCGATTGGATTTTACAACTCTTGTCAAGGAGAGAACAACATGAAACTACCCATGTTAAGAATTTCAACTTGTGCCACTAATTCAGTCTACCTGGGATGTCCTGCACTGGCTCTTATGCAAATTCATAAGGCGACTGTTACTGATGATAATTGTTCACACCCGGAAGACGACTGATCTCCAAGAAATACTGTTATTTAAAGTACCACAGCATGTGCTTGGTAGTGTAAATTTGATTTCTGCTTTTCATTTCTTAAAACAACAAAAAAAAAAAAGTTGGTGTCATTGAAGTGGACCACGCACTGCATTTCTGCCTTCTTAACACGTTTTGTTTTGTTACATCTTACATTATGCAGAACTATTTTTGTACAAAAATTGTTTAAAAATTATTTATGCAATGTTTGAATGCATTACCAGTGTTTTGGTTTTGATTGCCAATTTTTATCTTTACTTATGGTAGGCGAGAACTTAACCTATACTTCGTAGACAGTATCTATCTACAAACGTGCCCAGGTCAGGAAAAAGTAGGTTAATACTTTCAACTTAAAGCATGTTTTAATGGAAGTTTATATCCTGCTTTGTATACTTCAGAAGTGACATAAGCATGTTGTGGAAATAAGGTGTAAATTATAGTTGAAGTAAAACACTTTGCCAAGTTTTATCTGTATAGAAATCACCTTTTTCTCAAAATTTTAAAAAATTCCAATTTCAGCTTTTGCACATAGGAGGGTTTCACTCTGTAGCATGAGCTCTTGTACTGAATATAAAATTAATTTATACAGTGAGTCCAGCCGTAGAATAAATGGTCAAACGTAGTCTCTCTTTCTTTGAAGTGTGAGTTGAGTTCTCATTTAAGGTTTATAACATGGTTATTTCCTGATTGTAAAATTCTGCATTCATAAGTGCCATTGTTGTACGGTGTTGTTTTCGTAGACCTTCCTGATGCAGTTTTACCTTTGTTGAATTTGTATAAACAATTGTACAAAAACAGGCGCTGGCTCTGCGGGTTTCTGTTCCAACGTGGGGTGGCTTTGGTAGGAAGCCATGTGCGTGGAGTGACTGCTGTGAGCCCAGGGGGGTGCGTCGGGGTTCGAGCGCAGAGCTCGTGGCTCCTAGCCTTGGTGCGAGCCAGGATTAGCGGCAGAGGCCCCTCTTTCTGTCAAGCACTTGGTCTTTGTCCTGTGCCTCTAAGTTGGCATGTTCCAATACGTTTTTACTGAGGAGGGAATAAAATACACATACGTGCCTTTCTCAAGCTGGACTCTGCCCAGATTAGTCTAGAGGAACACTTACATATCTCAAGAAGAATGTTAAAGCTTGAGCTGAGTAACCAGCAGCACTCCCACAGCTGAGTAAGAAAAGAGACAGAGGCTGAGAAAGCCCATCACAAATCTTTATTAAGCTTGTGTGGCTAATGATCAGCATGGAAGTAACATATAGGGTATGTTTTTCTTCATTAGCTTACTCACTGAACAGAGACTCCAGGAATTAAGTACCATTAAAAAGTTACTTCTAAAAAATAAAGCCATTGAGAGGTTTGCTCCCTTCTGAAAAATAACCAGCACTGTCTCCAAGCTGTGTATTTTATTTTGAGGAGGAGCTACTTTCTGTTATTCAAGCCAGCTTAATTTTTCAGATAAAAGACAAGAGCAGGTGTGACAGCATAGCAGAGGTAAGAGTTCTCAGCCACTGCAGCCTAGGCAAAGCGTGTCCCTGTCTCCGTTACTTTGCTAGCACGTGGGAAATTACAAGGAGAAAGTGTAGCTTCATTGACCAACCCTGCTTACAGGATAACCATCCAGGACGGACTCACCTCTCTTTTTTTACAGTGAACTTACTCAAACTCTGCCATGACTCTGCTTGGCCACAGGCAGCCTGTCCCCAGAACAAGAGCTGTTCTTGTCGCTGTCTTCCCCCAGTCATCTGTCAAGGACTGTTAAAATTCCTGCTCCAAGAGGACCCTTACCCTGCTGCTGGCACGAGGCCCAGCTAGAAACTGGGCCATGGGCTGACAGCAACGCAGGTCATTCCGCAGCCAATGGGAAGCGTGGTTAATAGTGAGGCGGCCTGGGTTAAAAGGCTGTGAACATGAGGTTTTAAGAAATGACCATGTTTCCTTTCCCTTCTCCTTAATAAAGCCCTCCCTGTTTAAGGTTAGTAACACCATACATTCCACATGTTAGCAGCAAGTAGTTTCATGACCCTGATTAGTATTCACAGTAACATCAGGTTGTCGGCACATGGAATACAATCATCACACATAAGATTAATAGTTACAATAGGCATGAGTAGATTAAGGACCACAATAATATGGTTTACTATACCCCTTCTTAAAAAAATACTTTTTTCCTAAACTAAAAAACACTTAGTAATTGGTATTTGGACACCACGTGGCAGAGCCCTGCAAAGTGGCGGAGCTTTTTGTACATTTACAAAGAATGGCCAAGACAGTACACATGTAACGGCAGATATTCTGAATGAAGCAATCGGCATAAAATAGATCGCTTAAGGGCTTCTGTGCAGGTACAGTTAATGGCAGTGCTTTCTACAGTCGTATTTTATACTGTTAACACTGTTGCAGGGACAGTGTCAGAACAGTTACATTCTATAATTACATAAAAGCTGAATATTCAACTGATATATTCGTTGCTTCTAATGCACTAGACAACGTAACACGCTAATATGGTCGAGCAGAGGTGCTTTCTGACCACTTGCTGAGTACTGAATGCGATAATTAGAGGTGATATTCTTCAGAAGAGAGCAAGAACTGCTGTAAACAGTTTGACTCAAACAGTCTCTGGGTTGATAAGGTAAGTCAGGCAGCACTATTACTGTACATACGGGCATTGTGTTGTACTGCCCACCCGTAGGATTCAGTATGCTGTAGAAAAAAGTTTCACAAACTTCTAGATCCTGATGTTCAAAATGTTGTGTTTAATCGAAAACTAAAAAGCTGACACATACCCCAAGGTTCGGCACTCCTGCCCACAGAAATCCCGGAGGGGTGACTACAAAATCCATTTTTGGTCTTAGTTTAAGATTTGAACACATGCACGGCCCGAACAACGTACTGTCGGCAGATGGGGCACTCGTTCATCCTCTTGCCGCACTTGGTGCAGGTGACCATGTGGCCGCACTCCAGCAGGACGCAGTCGATCACGGCGTCCATGCAGATCCGACACAGGTTATCGTCGTTGTCGTTCAGCTGCATCTTCTCACCCTCTGAAAACCAACAGAGAGGGAGGTCACGCACTCCCTGTTCACAATAGTTTTTCTAACCCACAGCTAAGAATTAATCTATATTCCTTCAAAAAAACCCCAAAGAAACAAGAACTAGAAAATCCCGAAGTGAACATCCAATATTTGGCTTCATTCTTTAAACTCGGAAACCATTTTCAATTCAGAACATAATGACTGTGAAATAATGTGTTGGATTAAAATTCAGAGCATGTTGGTTTTCCATCTCTGAGCTTGCTTCATTTGGCAGAACACTTTCCTCAGAAGATTAAACACAATAAAGCAGACTAAGAAGTGGAAGCCTTAAGTAGATCATAAAGACGGCAGAACTGAATAAAACCTGTCAAGTTTCATTGCAAATAGACAACATCCCCTGTCAATGACCGAATGTTCCATCAGACCATGTTGAAAAAAAAAAATCGTAAGTTTAAAGCTTGATTTCAGACAGGTTTTCAATTCTAGTTTATGACCAAACTGAGGGTCTCACTTAAGCCATGTTTTGACATTCACTAACAGCCTCCCACCTTCACAACCCTTCTCCACCCCAGTTAGCTGATTATTTAACAACTGATTATCACAGTCCCTGCCGTGTATGTGCTGGCACAATCTGGCTGAGAAGTGGCCCAGGGCTAGAAAGTTTTCCAGTCACCACAGTCCCCTGTTCCTTACAGCCTGACTGCTGGATGCAGGAATGAAGAGGCAGGCGTTTTCCAAGCTGGTGATAACGTCAAAAAGTTGCTCCTCAGATAATACTTTGTGAACAGGAATCGGTCTGTGGATATACTACAATCACGCAAGTGAAAGACTCCAACTATTGAGTGTAACAGAGGGTAGAAGAATACTGAGCTGCAGCCACAGAACCACCTTGTCATGAAAACATGGACTGAGACCAAACCACTTGGACTTGGACTTCTGCCACTGTAGCTTTTAATTCTCTACCACAGTAAAAGACCTGAATTGCTTTGGGCTGTTGACAGCTACTGAGAAGCTCTCTCACTAATACCTTGTGAAACCTAATAAAGGACGTGGAGGTGCCAAGTTTCATGTTCTCTGAGGAACTGGTTCTCAGTTCTGCAATTTTACCTTCACTGTGAAAGCTGAGCTCTCTTGAGCTTTGGAAAAAAGTCTCAAAGAACCAGCACAATCCTGGAAAGCTTCATTTACTCACTGGAACCATGTTCAACTACTCTAGATGCAGCCTGAACTGTTAAAACACACTTTCCAGTTGTTCCAGCTGAGCAGACCAAGTTAGACACCAAGTCCTTCTGTTGCAGAACCAGCTACTGGAAACCAGAAAATAAGTAGTCTTAAGAAAGTGAGAATTAAATATAAACCTACGTGTCTTGTGGTTTTCCTCACTCTCTCTGTAGAGTCTGCTCACTTTTTCCACAAGTTCCCATTTTTCACAGCATCCTGAGTAGTTGACAAAATTACACGCAAGTATTTCCTTCAGCTGTCGAACACTCAACCCTTCAATGTCTTCCAGACTTGAAATATCGGACAAAGACGCCCTTGCTCGCTTTCTGGACAATCCAGGGGTCTGAAACACATCAATTGCATGTTTTTAACTCCCAGTAAGTTCAGAGCATCAGCTCTGGTGCTACATGAAGCTGCAGCAGCTTCGCTAAATTTTTAATCTTTTTAAAACAAGTATTTGCAGACAGGCATTGCTAGACACAGCTAACTCTGAAAGAACGAGTGTGATAGTAAATGTTGACAGAGATCTAAACACTTTATGGTGCCACATGCCAAAAATTCATTCTTTGGATAGTTCATATCTCACCTGCTCTTCTGCACTTTCTTCTTCTTCATTATTTATAGAAGATGTTTCAGTTTGTCCCTGTGTACAAAATGAAACTAATCAGGATAAAAACACATGATCCCTTATAAAATATTTTCCTTTGTACCAAACTGATCACAGATGACAATGACATGTTGAAGTTTCAATTGCTACCAATCATCATGAAATTAAGTCACCTCTATCATCTAAACTAGTAATCTTATCTAGTAATCTTCTGTTTTCAGGTGAGAGATACAAAAGGCATTTTTCCTGCCACCCCGAACTGCACCAACTGGCATTTTATTTTAAAGCGATGCATACCTATTAAAAAAAAGCTATGCTATACCATAAAACACATTAATTGTACCCGTAAAGGCGTTCCATTTCCTGTGCTTCCCCTTCTGTTTGCAAGTTCTCCTTGAGACGACACTGATACAGACATAGAAAACGGATGAGTAAAAAACCCCGAAGTCTGTGACCGTGACGAGTGCAAGCTACTAGCGTCCATATCCTCCTCCGAACCTAATCCATGATGGCACAGCACAAGATCCACCAAGTCTTCTTTCTCCCTGCAAGTATCCGTTGGTATGTTTCTGAGAATCAGATACTGACGCAGATCCTTTACTTTCAATCTCATTAACTGAGGTCGCTGAAAGGCTGTTTCTTGCAGCAAGTGACAAGTGGAACATCTTCTGAGATTCTCTTGTAAGACTGAACAAACT